GGCTGCTGCTTTGATCTTCCTCTCCCCTAACAACAGGCTCACCGTGGCAGAAACACGCAGGGTGGGGATTTCTAGTTTCGCTCTGGCTGACACAAATCAAGTGCAGGTTTCTCAAGCTGTGAAGTATATTAAGTTCACAGAGTTTTAACAAAGGGCTACCAAACCACAGAACCCCGCTGCGAGTCACACTTCTTTCAGATGCCCTTTTAATTATATTAAATGAAAGTTTGGGGCACTTTGATGCTGATGGGCAAACATCTCGATCTCTTCAAAAAGCTGCTAAAAGTACTCCCTGTAGCTATAGTTAATATACGACATTGTATGCACACTGCTAGCCAATTTATTCAGCCACTTTAACAATGATACCTCGCCTGACAGGCCGCGCAGAATAGCATCAGAAGTTGAGCAATGCGCAAATCATTAGAGGACTCTGAAAGTTGTTTGACAGGCACTGCAGAGCTCTTTGTCATACAGCCAATTAAGTGGCCAAACAAGGAACTCGAAAATCCTCATTAATTTGCCCCTCTCTATGTAATGGAGGTTAGTCTTTCTTGTTACAGGCGCAACAAGAACACAAATAAACGCAGTATAATTTAATTTACGCTCCCTCTCAGAGCTACAAGTTTCTTTCGTTTAGTCTTCACAGAAGTTGGGACCAGCCATGCAAGCAAGGGAGAAGTGGGACAAACAGAATTAATCCACTTTAAATAGTACTGGCTAAGTCCCAGATGCACCTTTTATCTGCTGAGAGCTCTAGGTTAGCAAAGAAAAAAAAAAGTCTCTTCTACTCAGCTCTAAACTTAATGCTTTGAATTCTCTGAGGAAAGCCCTTCATTTTTTGCTTAGTACAGCAATTCAAACAACCCACGTTACAAGTGTGAAACGTTCAGAAAATGGAATTCCAAGGACGACTCTGACTGCAACCACTTGCCACTGTCTGCTACCTGGAACCTGCCAGCAGCTCAGCACCAGCTTCATTGGTGGCTCTGATGACACATGCACCCAGAAGCTCTTGTGATTTTCACAGAGTGGGTGGCATCTCCATAATCTTCACCATTTGCTGTACAGACTAGCCCAGAATCCCCAGAATCCCAAAACAGGGAAAGATGACTCACAGGACAGCCTGGAGGAAGGAACCAGAAGGATCCAGGAACCAGGACAGCAAACACCATTAGACCAGGAAAATGCTGCAAAAGCAATGCTCTGCTGCCTCCTTCCACCCTCCCCACAAAGCTGCCACTCAAGCTATCTATTGTACTCACCAGCCTCCAGCTTTGAAGCCACCGAGACTGGCTGTAAAAAATAGAAAACCAAAAAGCATGGGAACCCTGTGAAGTTTTTGTCTTCTGAGATCTGCATCCCAAATGCAGCATGCCGTTTCACATGGGAAGAGGTTGCTGGCTGGCACTGCAGGGGAATTCATTGGCCTCATGATGCCCCAGAGCTCCAGTCCTCAAATGGAAGTGAAGCAAGGAGATGAGCTCAGATTTTGCAATCAGGTGCACATATATGATAAAAAGACTACACACTCAGATGTGGTATGAGCCTTTATTAAAGCTTGTGTTTCCAGCTACTAAATCTTACAGCAAAAGTCTCTAATTTTAAGTTTTGCCTGTTAATATGGCCTCACTTACTGCAATCTATGAATACTCTTTTTTTTTTTTTTTTTTTTTTCCTCCTTTACTACCCCACCTTCATTCCCAGAAGCCAGGGGAATTGTACTCATGACATTTTAAGTTGGGGAGCTGAGAAATAGTGAGCACATGCCACTTGCTGAAGCGCATGGAAGAAATCTGTGACACCAAAACCGGTTTCATAGCACCCAAAAGACAAATGTTTCATGTTTTCTACAACTCCAGTGCTTCAATTTAAGGAGAAAAGCCTTTGGAAACTGAAGAAATATCAATTCTGAAAAAATCATAGAAAATTCATATCGGCTTATGTCACACACCAGTCATCAAACAAAGCTACGCTAATCGTCATCAAACGAAGCTATGCTAATCAAATGTGTCACCCACCGTGACTCATTCTCCCACGCGATGACTTTTCCATCCCTTTCCCAAAATAGAGTGCAAGAACAGTGCAGCACAGACAGGTGGGCATGTGAGATGTAGATCTGTGCTCTCCAAAAAGCCACACATGGGGTCCAAGCTCTCCTTACCTAACAGAGCACCTTTCCAAGGGCACTCGCTTCATCCATCTCAGATATCCACCTTGGTCACCTCAGCTTAAACTGACTCTCAGCATCACAAATTAAAGCCCATGTGGCAGTTTCTTAAATATCACCATGATTGAAAAATCTTCCAGCAGTTGTTCAGTCATTATATTAATATGTATTTATCACATCACCTGTCAAGTTGGTTCTTGTTGGATTTTTGAGGCAAAAAAGATCATTTACCACACTTGAAACTAAAAGAGCAGTATTTGTAACCTCTATGCCCAGTAAATAGAATCCCTGAGCTTTTAACTCAACAAATATTGTGACACTGCACAAATTAAATCAATATTTATTTTAATTATAAAGCTACCTGGAGAGATGTGATGGTAATCTGATATGGCATTCCCAGTCTCATATTTGATCAAGTCGCAAAATTTCCAGATATGTCTTACATATTTATTTGTATTCATTTATTTTGGGCTCAAGAGGACTTTGCACCCCAATTGCTACAGAGGCTCTGTCATGACCACTTAAATTTGTCAGCCCAAAGAAAACAGTAAGACTGACTTTAGCAATTATTATCTTCTCAAGCCACCCTCCTCCTCCCCAAAATCCACCTATTCTCAATTGCACTTTTGATATTTACAATTGCTGGACATCTCTCACAAACTTTGTACTGCACTTCCCTTTGGTACACTTCCAGCCCTGTGAGCTGAATTCAGCCATGGATGTTCTTCACATTAATGGGATCACCACAAGAAGATCATGTCAGCAAGGTTGAAAACTCTGTTTCTCTGCCATCGTTGGCATATTTCCCAAGTGACTTCCCATCTCCCATCTACTTCACAAAGTCCAGGATTTCACCATTTAAGATTTGTTGAAAAATCTATGCTAAATTGCCTTAGCCAGCCCAGACATTTCACTACCTGGTAAAGAGTAAGTGGCCTGTAATAGGAATACCTGCAGTCACATTTAATTGCTATTACACACAAACTCTTCCTCAGAAGATTTTTTGGGTGACTTTAGCTACATGATTTTCCAAATGGAAACATACTGTACAAAAATATGTCCAGATACACTACTTTACTTCCATATAATACAAAGCAGAGCTGGAAAGGTTCAATTAGGTCATCTAGTTCATTCTTCAAGCCTTCCATTACAGGACTGTCCTCCTCAATATATTTACCAGCTTTGTCCATATTTATACTGAACAGCTCAAGCAATAAGCTTTCATCGGTTTTCGTCTACTAAAGAGGCAGTCGCATGATTAATGTTTAAACATACAAGTAGCCTTTCCAAGTGAAAAGGAAGAAGTCCTTGAAATGAAGGGTAAGTTGAAGTTTGTGAAGAATATTCAGGCTTTATTCTATCAAGGCCAAGCTTTCTGTAGAGTGCACTAAACTCACTATTCACTACTATCTGAAAGAAGACAAAAAGACCAGGAGTATGCATTGGCTCTGAAAAGTATGCCCATGAAGCTACTGGAAAGGACAACTATGGGTCAGAAAGCACCCAAAGTCCCCAACAGGACTGTGTGCTCCACAGTCAAACCAACCTCACCATGTTCACAGTAATACCAGTAGACAAGCTAGCTAGCTTGGGAGTGAGCATTGCACTGTAAGCTTTCCTGAATTCCTTCAAATGCTAGTTACTTTCTCTGAGATCTTAAGAGAAGTCACTCCAGACAAAAGATGCATAACTCCATAGCTCTTTATCTGCTAAGGTATATAGAAGGGAAAAGGTGTCTTTCTCTCATGACCATATCCAAAGGGAAGGCAGTCTACAAGCACAGAGGAGTACTGTTTTATTTTTAATGTCCTAGAAATCTAAATCATCTAATCCCACACACTAAATGAAATATGTGCTCACAAAATAAAGTCAATACTGACTGTAGGTAGTTGAATTTCGCAGGAAAACTCAGGTACAGACAGCCACCTCCAGAAACACACAGTTCATTTTTACACCTCTGTATGTTATATATACATATAAATAACGAACAACCACCCGTAAGTACAACATCAACATTCATAAGCACAAGACAGAAATCAGAAAATAAAACGTTCACATTTCTTAAAGTAGCATTAACTCACCCATAGTATACAAACAGGTTTATATAAAAGTCACTGGAGCAAATGCTATAAGGCAAGGTGACAGGATAAATAACACAGCCCGAGGCCCCACTCTTGAAAAGCCTGCAAGCAGGTCTTTCCAAAATGCTGGGGCTTGACTTTGTTAATGTAAAACACAATGTAAGCCTACAAAAGTCGGGTCACAGCTGGGTGAACTTCATGGGACATTATGTTCCTAATCCTATCTTGAGTTTCCTCTTTCCTACATCCCTCTGCAAGGACACTCTGCATTTCATTATGATCCTACCTCCTCCCTCATGCTAAGTGTTGCCATTTCAAATTGTTTCTAAATTTGCAAGTGTAAGAGGGTAAGAAAGAAAACTAAGAAAATGCAAGTGGCAATTATATGAGTGACATGCCGTAAGTGAAACCCAGCTGGTCTGGAGACACCTCCATGAGCAGGAATTTTGCATTCTTTACTTGCACACATTCATAATGTCCTGCTTATTCTGATGGTCAGATGAGTCTTGTCAGATCTCTCCTGTGGCTTTTCCCACTTTCTGCTTCAGAGATTCTGTCCCAAATGTTTGTCAAGTCTGAGAGCAACTGGGCAGCTGAAGGGAAATGAAGAATGAAATTATTATCCTGTAACCTTAACCTTAGAACTTGCTGCCACAAAGATGGTAATAATCAGATTATTCACAGAGACAAAATCCACTTCACAGTCATTCAGTCAAACAACTGGACACGTGTATTAAAAACACAAGAAATACCTGGACATAGGCCCTGCAAGATCGCTCCCTTTTCTGAAGCTGAGTCCATAAAGACAGCAGATTAAAGACGGAATAGAAAAAACAAGTTAGTGACAGAACAAGGGAAAAAAAACTGAAGAAAACGCCTATGAAAAAAACCTCATTTCTCTCTTAAACAGCTCCTGCAAACCAACCAAACCAAAGGAAGCATGTGAGTTAAGCAGCAGTGGAAGGCTGGAAGGACCAGCTCCAGAAATACGGGTTAGTCCTTTTTCAGTGAAGTAAAGCACAGACTGGCAAATTTGCAAGAGCGGCCGTTAGATGGTAGGAGACACTGAAGTCAAGCAGAGACTCTCAAGAGATGGCATTTTCCTTACAGCTTGGAGATTACATATGCTATTTTCACATCAAAAAAGGCTGGAAAGGATGGGGCTGGTGGTCATTTACCTAAGAGGAGCGTGGGCTCTGCAGTCAGACAGTAGTGACAGCACAGTGAGGTATGACCAAGCTTTGGATGAGCAGGACCAATTCCAGGGAATAAGATGTATGCAGGACTGCATCCTGATACAGGATGGACCTGTATGGACCCAACCTGATACACCTGCTCAGGTCTCTGGCTCAAGGCAAAACCTACAGCACTCCAGCTTCAGTGCTGTGAGCTTGCTTAAAGCCAGCTCAGGCACATGTTGAGTGTGATAACACATTGCACTAAAGGAGAGAGCATTGCCCAGGGCTCCTCGTAGCATAAAGGGCCACTGGAGAGGACATAACAATGAAATGGGAATCCGATGTAGTATTTCCAGTTGAGGCCATTCTCCTTCCTTTGGACTAAATTGCTTCTCCAAGACCAAGCTGTGCTTTCCTTTGCAATTCCCGGGTCTAAATGCTTTATATGCTCAACAGCTTTTCCACAAAGAATCCCACCTTTTCCACAGAAGCTGTGTTTAGGACTGTATTTTGATATGCCCTTACATGCCTTCTTTCTGATAACTGCACTTCAGTGTGTCACAAAATTCAAACAGGCACCTATTTACCTCCCCAGGACTTTGCAGGCAGTGAGCTAGAATTGGTGAGTTCTGCATCGGTGCCACTAAACCTCGCAAAATCAGTCTGCTCAGAGCCACTGGCTTGGCTGGGTTTGTTTTTGCTGATGTGCCTGGGTTGGAAATTGCACATCAATAGAGATTCGGGGTAACTTGTGCTCTCAACTCACAGCAGCGCAATCCCATTAGTACAGCTGAGAGCCAAATTTGTCCTCGAGAGTTTTGAGGTTCTGTAATAAACAAAATACACCCAGGTATCACGCAATGCCTAATTTCAATTTCTAATTCATCAATTTGTAACAGTAGAAATCTTCCTCTGGGCAAACTTGGCCAGTACGAAGACTTTACAGAAACAAATGGAGATCAAAGAAAGCCTTGCTGAAAATTACAGAACTATCCACTCAGGGGTCTTGCCAGTCTGCAATAGAACAATTATTACCTTAATTAAGCCTGATCCAGTGGAAAGCATAAAGCTTTTAGTGATGGGAAAGTGGCTCCTGAAAGATGACGGTTTTTAAAAATTCTCATTCTGCCAGTTTATTTCAATTCGTTGTACATCAGTTTGTAAAGAAAACCCAGTACAAAACAGCACAGGTGATTACTTTCAGATCCCCAGCACATTTCCTTTAATGATTAAAAGAATATTTAATGGGTAGCGCTTACTTTATTTTTTCTTTCTGACTAAACAGCATTAAACAAAACTCTTTGCAAATGACTTTCTTCCCTTTTTTTGGAAATACTCTTGATCAGTGAAGGGGAAAATGGAGCAGTAACTCTGCTGCCTTTTGTTTGACCAATACTACTTCCAAGTTGAATTCATGCATTCTTAAATGAACACAGAGCAGTTGCTCTTCTAAAGAATTAAGTGGGGAATGAGAGCAAGTAAATTACTGAGCCTGTCATTTGGATCACTGACTCGCATCGCTGTTTTGCAGGACTCCACGCGGTCCAGAATTTTAATGTAGAATGCAATTGATTTGTATGAGCCGCTTGTGTAAATCTGATGGCGGGGGGGGAAAACCTGCAAGGGGGACCCCAGGAGTGACAGCCGAGCTGAGGAGCTCTGCCTTGCCCAGTCTCCCCCTCTCCTTGGAAACTCATACCTGCCCCCGTGATACAACCTTATTTCATGTAATCAAAACAAATATCAGAAGGTGGGATACAAAAAGATGAAAAATATGTGCTTGCAAAGCTGAAGTGACAAAATGTTGGGTGTGGCTAGGGCATATTCAGAAGAGTGAGCAGAGTACAACCATGAAACTTGTTAGTAGGTGACATTAATTGCTGATTTTACCTGATATTGTCAGACATCACCATCATTTCAGACAAAGAACCATGGTATGATTATAAAAAATAATGTTATGCTGATGTAACAGTTAATACAGTTATTACCTACATTGTTATAAAATAGCTGGAAGCAGTACTAATTAAAAGCATCAGGATAACCCAATTCACAGCACATGCAAAGCACATGAGATGCAGGACTTAATTCCCATGCGGCTGTAATCTTAAACAATCCAGAAGCCCTTTGCATTTAAAACAGTGTAAGTCTACAATAATAACTGACAAGAAAAAAGACAATGTTACTTCTCTGAAAGTATTTCTCTTCAGAAAACACACAAGAAATTTCAGGCTTAGTTGGGATCATTTATTTCCCATATAACCTTGGGACCAAGTTCTGTTCTCATTTAAATGGATACCAGGGCTGTCAGAGCCAGCTCCACAGCTGAGAACAAAATTCTGTGTCTTTATTTTAATTGTGTGGCCAATATAATCATGTGTTCATAGCCACAGGGTTCAGTTGCTCTTTGTTCTGATGACCAGGCCTGCACAATTCACTGTCTGATTCCTATATAAGTCCTATCCCATGTGTTTACATGAGATTCAGGGATAAAGAGGGCCTTGGACCAAAGAAATCCTCAACTTTAACTGTATTCTTACAGACTCCACAGCCCGTATTTCCTCCTACAACTGGCAATTTCTAGCACCTTTAGTATGTAGTAATTTCACTTAATTCTGGAAATGACAAAAGGACTAATAATTCTTCTCAAACAGGGGGCACAGAAACCACACCATCATCATGGAGTAAGGTGCTTTTGGGCTAAGTCACTGGTCATCACCAAAAAGCCCCTCTAATACTAAAGCATCCTGAAGACCTTAAGAGTAAATATGATGGTATCTTATGTGCCTTTGGTAAATGTTCTCCAGTGTAAATAAATATTTCTATCTGCTTTTATTTGTTTATATTCATGCATAACAGTGTTCACTTGACCTTCACATCAACATTGTGTAATGTTACAAGATAAAAAAATCAAAATCCAGACTCTCTCTGTCCCTTGGAGCATTAAACATTCAGATTTTCTGGATCATATTACGTGGCATTTCACAGACAGATTCAGCACTGGAAATGCTGTACAAAATTCTGGTCTCATTCCTACCAGCACAAATCCAAAATAATTGCCGTGGCATCACTTGAGTTATTCCCATACTGAGCTATGAGAGCTGAGACCGCAATGAAGTACCTGAAATTCATATACCTACACATCTAAGGGTATACATTTCCCAGCACCAATAGTACACTTGGCATTTACAACTGTTTCACTTCTCAGCAGAATAAAATACACTGTAAATGAAAAACTGCCAGGTACTTTTGTCTACTATGAAAGAATCACTGCCCTAAAATGGCTGTCCTTCAGAAAGACATTTATAATAGCTCTCCAGGGAGAGCCAAACCCTTCTTCAGCCTCCTGTCCCTTCCTGAGCCCCTCTGTTTTTACCTTATTTAAGCTGCGTGCAGCACTGTCCTTCCCGCCTGGAGTCAGGTTTCGGAGCTGCACATCAAGCAAATTCACCAGCTGGACCATGGCGGACACAGAGTACGTGATGTCACCAGCATACAAGTGGTTTTTTGTGTGTTCCGCAAGCTCACGGGCAATGTTGGCAGCCATCTCCCCCGATTTCATCTGCAATTGAGAAAGCAGAAGAAAACATTGTCCTTGGCTGTTAGTATGATGTTACTCCAGCCCCACAGTGTTAAGCGAGTCAACTCCTTGCAAGAAGAAGAGAGAAGAGGGGAAGAAAAGAGAGGAAGAGAAGAAGTTCCCAAGAAGGAAACTACAGCAAGGGTCTTCATGGTTTGATCATGTACAGTATTTGAGTGTGGTTTAAATGCAAGTGGTTTTTCCAGTTACAGTCACCATGTAGCTGGTGGCTTCAACACAACAATTTCTGATCTTCCCACAGGGCACTGCTGGAATTGAGTAGCAGCTGCTTCTCTGCATTGTAGCAGATGCAACCAAAGATCGCATTGCTTCCCATGGGATGCCCGTGCTAGGGAGGGCTTCAGTTAGCTTGTTCCATTGCCTTATCTATGCCACTTGAAAAAAACCCAACAAATAACGTAAAGTTTCTCCTGTCAAGAAAGAGCAGTGGCTGATTCCAGTAGATTATTTGATAGCGATTATTTTTGTTACAACTCCTGCACAAAAAATGTTTCCTGTAAAAGGAAGAAAAATAGATGACATAACCCAGATGAACAAGAGAAAAAAGTTCAAAATTCCCATCATGTGGATTTAATACTGAGGTGCTAATTTACCTCTTAGTGTTTGCAGGCAGGAGACATGCTCCTTACCACACTAGCTACTACACCTGTAATGAGGCTACTGTTTCTCAGCACATAAAAGCATACTAACTCAGAAGCAAAAGGCTTAAGGCTTCAAGCAGAGGCCCGCTGGAAGGGAAAACCAAGTAGGCTGCTTGGCTGAATCTTCTACTAAAAGACTTTTATGGTCTAGTTGAGTCATAAAACTCACTAATCACCTGCAGCGAAATTCACTGTGTAATTATGTGGGAAACTCTCTCTTTCCCCTTGTGGCTTTTCCCCCTTTCTTGCTCTGTTTTGCTCTCCCTATCTGGTGCCCCTTTCCTCTTCTATGCCATGCGGATTAGGGACAGGGCAGCTGGTCCCATCTCCTTTCTGTGAGCAGCCCACTACGATAATACTATTGCAGGTTGCTGGTCTTTTTTTCGTTATGTACCACTCTGTTATATACCACAGAATGCACTTCTATGGGGAATATGCCAGAGATGAGGAGAAATTACACAGGATGATATTTAAATGAAGCTCCCACTTCTCTGCTGGGCTCAGTGACCAACTCTGCTGGGTTCGTCATACGAAATTTCCAATTGTGTTATCTTCCAACAGTTAGAAATCAGATACTTCTCTCGTTCCCTCAATTTCTAGTGCTTATTATAAAAGTGAGATTCTAGTGAAAGATTGCAAGTGGAGCTTCTACCTCTCTGTAAATCAATTAGCTGAGTTATAAATGAATAACTTATTTCCATCAATTTGACAGCAACAGCCGATCTGATTTAATGAAATCTAACTGAAGATGTTCATATGCTCATCTTCAGAGAATAAAAGCATTTGATGATCTAGATAAGATAAATAAAGGAGATAATGTGTTGTTCTTCCCATTAGAGCAATGATAACATATATTCCTTAATTGAATTATTTCTTCCTTGTTACACACAAGGCTAATGCCATAGAAACCAGATTCTATTCTTACAGCTGCCTGCTCTCCTGAGCAGCTGAAGAAAGCCACACATCAGCACAGAGGCTGAATTTTGACCTCTTCTGTTGGTACCCAGAACTTTAAAGAACAACTGCATCAAATCCTTTTACATAAATAAATCAATTTCAACATTTTCCAGCAGTTCATTGCTGGAGCTTAGCATGTATCATGAGACATGATGTTTCTGTAAGCCTTGCAGAAAACTGCA